GCCCGGCTTGCGCACACACTTTAAAGCGAGCATCTTTGTCTACTTTCATGAAAAGTTTTCACTCTCTTTCATACGTGCCATAGTTTTCTGCTCCCCTGCAAATTTTCACCTTTCAAGTCCGACTACTTATACTATGAGCCACATTTCCCGAGCTATTCCACGAGACGTAAACGCACCAGGTTAACGTCCCAAAGCAACTATATTCCATACTATTTGTGGTCAAACCAATCTTTTCTAGAATGACTTTCTCTCGAAGCTCTCGTCGGGCGCGATCGCAATGGCCCCCAGCGCCCTGCGTCGAGGAAGAGCCCCAGTCCCTCTCGAAGGAGCTAGACGGCCTCTCCAAACTTGGAGATAGACCCGGAGTCGACGGTGTCCATACAAGAGGGGTTATCGATCAGTATCCTATCATAGTCTCCGCCAACTCAGCCGCTCCATCGTCTATCTCCCCTGCCAGTGTTCCTAGTGTTCCTGGGCTCGGGAGTGTGTCTTCGGACGAAAGCGCAGGGCCGATGACACCGCCTGCTCAAGAGCCGATCTTGCGGAACACCGTCAGGTTCGAGATGGATGATCGACCAAAGCGTGCGCCGCCCTCAACTGCAAGCCAACCACGCGGTCTACCATCTCGGCCCTTGTCCCAGCAACAGCCCGTCCATGAGCTTAATACGCAGCGGGAACTCAAACCGCCCTCCCGTAGCCGAGATAGCAACCCCAGCAGACACGGGCCGCCAATGCAAAACACGTCTCGTGGCTCCCTTGCGCCGGGTGTGCCGGATCGCAGTGGTTCTCAAGCTCCCATGCATGACAAGACCTATCTACAACCACCCAAGTCTTCCATTGGCCGATCCAACAGTGCACGACACGCACCTTCGACAGCACGACCAATGCCAGAACGCTTTCGGCGGGAGCCTAGCTCGGGGTATTTGTCCGATTCGGCCACCACATACAACAGGCCACCCTCACACCAGGCCCAGGCGCCTGTGTCCACAGCTCCTGTATCAGCTCTGCCAAATGGGCCCACCCTCGCAGAACGCATTGACGAGAAGCTTCGTCAGCGACAAGAACAGCGGGACACGGGGTCTATGTCGGACCCGGAGGCACGGCAAATTCACGCGACTGTGAAGCCTGTCAAACCGAATCCTCTCAACGTCTCCCTGCCCCCTCCGCCTCCTGTTCCTGCTTCTGCTCCTGCCCCTGCCCCTCCATCGCACCCACCTTTGCGTGGGCCTCAGCGTGTCCCGACCCAACGAGCACAAAGCGAGGTGCCCCCGGCCTCACGTGCTCGGGCGACATCGGTGACAATGCCGCCTACGCGGTCGATGTCTGGATCTCGCCATCCCTCGCGACCAGCACCCGAGGTGAACAAGCCTACATCAACCCAAGTCGCAACCCAACTAAACCCCGACAGGTCACTGGCTCATCCCGCACCCACTCGACCCCCAGGTACATCACCACAGCGCCCCAGCACGGTAGGCCTGGGCCTCTCTCCATGCCCGCGAACTATCGCTGTCGCAGGTTACCAAGATTGGTATACGCTCAAAGGCCTCACCCACCTGGACATCTGTCCATCCTGCATGAGTCAAATCGCACACTCCCGCTACCGCGACTACTTCATCCCAAGCCTCTCAAAACCAGCCGGGCAAAAGACACGATGCGCCTTCGCCAACGCATGGACCCGTCTCGCCTGGGCTCAGATGATAAAAAAGCAACACGACAGCCTAGAGCTCCTCTACCAAATGACACGCCCACCACCCGGCACAAGCCCCTGTCCCGGCCGCATCGTCACCGAACAATCCTGGCACCGCATCTACGACCCGGAAGCCGGCGGCGACCTCCCAGGCTTCCACGTCTGCAGCAGTTGCGCGCGCAACATCCGCATCCTAATGCCCAGCCACCGGGAAACCTTCCAGCCAAACCCGGAGCCCACCGAGCGCGTGTGCGACTTCGTCACATCCAGTCCGCGATTCGTGAAATTCATCGATCTCCTCGATGCGTCTGCATCCCGGGCTGAATCGGACTCCTCGCGCACGCGCCGCCCGGATACGCGCGAGTTCCTTAACTATGCGCGGCGCAAGGTCGTGCTGCGTGATTGTCGTCGTGATAGGCCTACTCTTAGTACGTGGCACTTTATACCGTCGCTGCCGGAGATGTGTGTCTGTGAAGACTGCTATGATGAGGTTGTTTGGCCGCTGGCCAGATCGAATCATCCTATTGCGTGCATGGTCACGACGAAGATGCGGATCTTGCCTGGTGATGGGCCTGGTCGGACTCGTGAGGCGAGTTGTCAGCTTTACTCACCGCGTATGCGGGCGAAGTTCCGGGAGGCTGTTGTTAGGGATGATTTTGGGATGTTGAGGTCTGTTGCGCAGAGGAGGGTTGAGGCTGAGCGGCGGTTCCTGGATCGGCGGGAGGAGTTGTTGGTTGCTCAGTCGAAGGGATATGATTGTGATGAGGAGATGAGGAAGGCTGTTGATGAGTGGAGGAGGTGGGAATGAGGTGTATGATTGTCTGTATCGTTTTCTTCGTGTTTTGATGTCTGTAAATGCATGTATACTTGGGAGCATTGGGGTGTACAATGATGGAGGGAGTTTCGTTTTGTGTTAGCATAGCATAGATACATATATAGGAGTCTACCCAGATAGAACATAGCCATGTTATTACCCCCCCACACCCGCCTGAGACCGATAATATTAGAGATGTGGTATTTCAGCGACCCTAGGGTGTCTTCTTATACGCCTTTTCGATGTCTTTTTGGGATATACCTACATATGTAGGTAACGGGTCCACGGGTGGTACCTACCTACATACATACCCTGCTGAACACGACATCGTCTTGACGGAAGACATGACGTTTGGGCGTGTGCGACAGCTGTGGGAGTACCACCGCCAAAGGGGCCTTTCGCAATAGTCCATGAAATTTTCAACACACCAAGGCTGCGTCCTACATCATCAGTCAACTTCGCATCCACGACGAAGATGTCAGTGAACAACCAGGCAACGCAGCGATTTAACTGCTACCAGCAGCGTCGCGAGGTTCTGGTCTAGCTTCACAACGAGTTCCGCAGCAATGGGAGAGTGCAAATATAATCGAGGGTTGTGTCTCACGCCCGGGAGCTTGGTTACGGCTAGTCCGGGTTCCTGGCCCCTATTTGCAAGTGGTTGTCGTTAGCTATGCAGGCTGTGCGGCATTGGCGGCCGGCCCTCTTTGAGAATGGTAAATCTGGTTTGAGAAGGGTTGCATTGGGAGGTGCGTGGAGTCCTATTTCCGGGAACGACTGAGGATATCTGTTTATGGATGGCAAGGGACAAAGGCATTTTCGCTAGTCACAGCTGGCGAGCTTGACGTAGTTCCCTACAGATTGACAGTGGTTTTTTGAGCATCGCTCACAACACGTGGCAGTCTAGGTCTAGTGCTGTACACACTTTTGTTGCCATGCGCCTTGCGATATTTCCCCCTTTGTTGGTCAAGGGCGTATGGCCATTCATTTGTTTTTCTCTGTTCTTTCTAGCTTATTCCTAGGTTTCGAATGACTATCTCTTTATGTGACCCAAAAAAATCAACAGCCACTCTCCAGTAAAAAGCAGATGGATATAGTCGATTTAGTAGTATGTCGCCAGAAAGGGAAACACAAAGGAACACGGCTAATCTAATTGCAGCCTACTTTTACCCGGACCTCACTTTCGGCTCGAGGTAAGGGGGCTCTGTATGTTGCCTGGGCTAAATGACCTACAATATAGTCCATTTGGCCTTTGAATATATCCGGACTTCCTTTACGAGGTCAGTTGGCTTAAGATAATACTAGAGATGTGATATTGGAGACACCCTAGGGTGTCTTTTGTATATCTTTTACACGTCTTACACGTCTTTTGCATTATCTTTAGCATTGTCTTTAAGTCTTTTTGGGATATAATAATGTACCGAGGTGGTCCAAGGGTCTATCGTGGTTGCCTCATCAGCACCTTCCTTAGATGGATATTAGAAACGTAAGCAGACATAAATGGCTCCAGGGAAAGACACTGTCAGACATCTCTTACTTTGTTGTCATGTAAACACTTTGACTTTGATTGCTTGTCTAGATTTATGAGTCACTTAATGACGTTTTGATACGAAATGGCTTTGAAAAGAAAACGTGGGACCAGTCTCCCCTCTGTCAACTCCTCCTCATTCTGACTCTAACGGCGTGAATCCCAAGCCAGCAAACGGTGACGCTAATATGAATCCTGAAATCCTCGAGTCCACTACTCTGAGTCCAGGAAGGGGCAGCCTGGACTCTGAGGAGGAGAACGAACCGCTTGGCATGGGAAAGGAGAGAGACCCCCGCGATCTCATCGAAGCTGGCTTTGACCCTGTGTGGTCTAGTCTCGACGGATACCCCGGACAGTTACCTCCAGACTTTCTCGAATGGATCGATCCGGAGGTAGATCCCAACGTAAGTTACATTAGGTCAGTTCGGAGTCTGTTCTGGCTAGCAAAACTGGATGATCTTGTCGAGGCCGTTGACGATCCTGCGTATACGATCAGCGACGAAATCCGAGTGGTGCCATAGGATGTGTCTGTCATCTAGATCCTGCATTACCTTTTTGAAGAAGGAAAGATTCCCGCACCAATCTATCGAAGAGTATTCTTTGATCTCCCGGCACGGACTCCTTTGGTTCTTCCTATCAGACAGGATCCAATCCCCCCTTGTGTGACCAGCTCACTCACCACTCCGAACCTAAATGACCTCTTTCCTTTCTGCAGACCCCAGTGTCTCCCACCGCAGATAAGCTGTCTGCGTCTGCCATTTGAAAAGAACACCGACCGGCTTGAGACGAAGATCACCCGCGAGTACACCAGCTCCCTGAATGGAAATCTACTTTACCGGGGAACTTCCCGGTCATGACTCGTCTCGCTCATGGCATTTTTTGTGCCAACTATTACATCCGGAAACAGCGACAATGAGTTCGGACCTGGTATCTATACGACTAGTTCATTGTCACATGCTTTGAGATACGTGGGCAGACAAGGAGCCCTGATGGTGTTTCAAAATCCCGATTTCCAGAACCTCAACCTGTGTGAGCCTAGCGAAGACGATTGGCGTGTCATCGTCGGCTTCTGGTGCAGGTTGCCTCTATCAGACGCCGCCGAACGAGTGCCGGAACAATGGAAGAACACCGATATCATGAAAGGACCCATCTCACGCCGCGGAAATAGAACAGAGCCAGCTCGCGTTTCTGGCCAAGACGTTCAAGTCGTTGGCGTGAGTTACGCAGGCTGTGCAGCGTTGGCGGCCTCGCTAAAGATGATTATATGGATGGAGTAGGACAAACAGCATTACCAGGTATGTGGAGTGTCCTTTTCTGGTTATAGCTCTCGCTTACCACATGTACAGGTTGCGAACCTTCAAATGTTCATTCTTTAAATCTCTCGTGCTTTCAGCCGTTCATTATTGAGAAACGTGATCTTCAACCGCCAGTTTCTATACCCCTGCCAATTTTTGACAACGCGGAAGGTTTCAAACAGTTGATGAAAAAATCTAGTCTACAGCACGAACTTTTTCGCCTGTTCTCTCTTGCTTATTGCCAGGTATATCAAATGGCTATTCTTCATGTAACCAAACGGTCAACAGAATCACCTCTTCAGTAAAAGGTCGATGCATAGTTCCATCTAGTAGTATGCCGCTAGAAATGGAAACACACGGATAAATCGGTTTCGAGAAACCAGCAAGTAAGCGACATGCTATTCCAAGCCTGCACAAAATTACAACTACATTCACATTGAACAGACACCGTAAGAATATTGATTGTATGCCACAACCCCATGCTAAGTAGAATGTAAATTACCAACTCCATGTCTTAAAAGATGCAAAATATCTAACGCACGCAAGAAACAATGCGATGCAAAGAAACCCCTTAACCCACCAACCCCACCAACTCCCCAGGCCAACGCTTCGCCCATATAATAGCGCGTGGAGGCATTCTCCCGCCAACAGGTGCAAGCACACGGATCTTTCCCTTATCCATGTCGACGTCGGCAACATACAAGAAGCCCATTATGCTCGCGTCACGGACTTCAGCCGGAGAGGCCGTGGCAGGTGCATGGGTGATCGCAAGGAGGGTATTTGCCAGAGCGGAGGGTGCGGGGGGAAGGACCTTTTTCAGGGGAACGCTGCTGCTGTTGGCATTGGCGTTGGAAGCGTTATCAGCGGGCTCTGAGACTGAGCCCACAACACCAGGGAGCGGGACGGCGCGGTCTGGGTCTTGCTTTGTTTCTTCTGAGGCGTGGTCGTCGATGCCGGCACCACCGGGGAGGAAGGAATCGCCTGTTCCCAACTGGGAGGGGTCGTATTCATCTTCGTCTTCGTCGTCTACTGAGGAGACGGTGTAGTTGTATACAGGGAGGGAGGCGAAGTCAAGCTGCTGTGCGTGGGGAGAGAGGGTGATGGCGGAAGAGGGTGACAGGGAAGGGATTGGGTTCCCGAAGAAGTAGGAACGGATTTGGGACTCCCGTGTTGCCTTGCGGAAGGCATCATCGCGGTCAACACAACCACCCGATTTGGTAAGTTTGACGACGGAGATGTGCTCGTCGAAGACAGCGGCTGTTGCGCTGGAGCTGGGCTTGTTGTCATATTGCCTGGCAACAGTGCTGTACAGGCGCTCCGAACCCAGAACCAGGATTGTTGTAATTGAGAACTCTGTGATAATGTGGTTAATGAGTTCCATAGTGCCGGGCTTGTCTGTGCCAAGAATTCCGGGCGTATCGACAATGATTCCCGTTTCGCGCGCATCCTCATCTTCGGCCATCCGGCCTGTGACAGACAGTGCAAGACGCGAGACGACTGGTCGGTACACGGCCCCTTCACCATCCAGCGGGCTTTGCATCGGGTAGCTGTACACAAGCGGCAGCTTGACAGGCACAGGGCTGGGCCCAGACATGGGACTGCTTCCCCAGCCATCTTCGACGTCCAAGATGGTACGGAAGGCAGTTGCAGTCAGTGTGCCAGGGACGCCAAGCATACCCTCCGTTGGGTCGAGGTTCACAACTAACGGCTGACGGCCGATCTTCGTCGCATATGCGGTCAAGATCTTAGCCAAACTAGTTTTTCCGGTGTTTTCAGGGCCCAGAAGGAGCACGCGCGGGCCATCCTTGCCTATTGATTGGGCTTCTTCGCGCATTGTCTCTAGCGCAAAGTGGACGTTGGCATATTCTACCATTGGCGTCTCCTCCGCCGTGTATTCGCTTTGACAGCCTCCTGCGCCGTAACCCACTGTCGGTGTAACTCCATCGGATGTGGTTGATGCTGTCTCAACAGCGGTGACTTCAAGTGCACAGCCATGCCATGTGAAGATTGCCGCCTTTGTGCCCGTGAATGTGTAGGTTTGCGATTCGGCAAGCTCTGTGCCGAAGAGTTCGGCGGTTCCATTGAGAAGCTGCACAACTTGAATCAGAAGAATCCCTATCATATTAGAGAATATGACATACCTTTACTTTGATAATATGTCCAAAGGCGACCTCAAACCGCCACTCCGAGCCGGGGTTCAGGCTGATCTGTGATGGTGGCGCAGGTGCCTGCGATCTTTCCTCCGACGGCTGCGTTAGCTCGAGACCCGGGAGCGACATATTACCGGTCAATTTGAGAAGCCTCGGAACATGTGCTAAGGTTGAAAACTGAAAGAAGCATTGGAATTGTTATCGGGGTGCGGAGCTTCAGCATGGATGTTTGCATGTTTGCATTTTCGTTTACTTGGCCGTCATTGGCCGGCTGATGTGAATATCTCCTACTATGACAGACATTACTCGATGTTTGAGCTACTCCATGCTCACCAGACCATGAATGGCATTTATTAACCTCACTTCCGTCTCAGATCGAACCATCAACTACACCAGCAAGAGCTTGAACGTTCTCAAGTCTGTCCAAATGCCGATACAACAAGAGGGAAACTCCCTAAAAGACTTCCTCCGACCAATCGAATCCCCCGGAATGCTTCCGTTCACCTTTTCCTCCAATGCAAAAAAGCACGAACATTAGAACATGGAAAGTCTTCAATGTCAGCTGCACAAAGATTGCATTAAATCAATATACAGTATAGCCCTACAATAAACACAAGCTGGTGACATCAAAGCACATCACTGTCATTGAGCGAATCGTCCTTGATTACTTGGAAGGCTGCCATAGGGCAGTAGAAGGTGGGAGAGGGGGAAAGTTTGGTATCAGGAGAGCAAGGGTAAGGGACATAAAATGAGTTAAGAGGCAATCCAAATAACCAAGTCTGGTACATAACACAGGGAGAGGTAGGGGAAGGGGAGGGCAAGATATTAGAAAATGTCAATAACAGGCACAGGGCACTCAGGATCGCCGGCGAGGAATATATTTATGATAACAACAAGGGGAATTGGGCATCAGAAGCGAATATTTGGGTAGCTGGGCTGTCGCAAGCGACAGACGCGCCGAAAAGAAGAGACCAAAAGTTTCAAAAAGACTGGCCTTTTGTCAAGCAAAACCTCGTCTGTTTAGAAAAAGTATGGGATGGAAGCCCTAGATATGATGTTAGTGTTGATTTCGGGATCTTCCTAGCACAGAATGACTTACGCAAGGGCAAACGCCACAGAGACACCGAAGATAGAGCGGTTGCGGACGCGCTCCTGCTTGAGCTTGTTCTCAAGCACCTTGGCTTTCTTGGCTCGTTGCGAAGCTTCGGCCGACGTCTCTTCATCCTCATCATCAACCGCCTTGCGCTTGCTGGTCGTCTGAACAGACGTCGACTCCGCAGTAGCGCCCTCGGCTTGCGCCTTGATAGCCTCTTCCACCATCTCCTTGGCCTGGGCAATCATCTCTTCAGTCTCCGCAGCAGAGGGCACTTCAGGCAGACTGATCGGCATGTCCAAGGAAACAGTAGTGTGAGTAGACTTTCCAGCGTCAGTGGCATCGTCGGCCACTGATGTTTCCACTGATGCTTCCACTGTCTCCTCCTGTTCCTGGATTTCTTGCTTCTTCTTCTCTTTCCTCTCAGCCTTCTTCTTTTCCTTCTTCTCCTTCGTCTCCTCCTTGGTCTCCTCTTCGGGCTCCGCGGTAGCAGCCCGGCGCGCTCTGGTCTTCTTTCCAGGGGATCCGCTCGACGTCACTTCCGCTTCGCCATCCACAGCTCGCAGCTCAGGAATGGCGTCCGAGGCCAAGCCTGAAGCCGTATCTAATGCCGACTGAAGGCTAGCGTTCGCAGCTGTCGTGGACGGGGTGCTAGTGACATCTTTGGCGATGCGGGTGCTGCGGGGCTTTCGAGGAGACAACTTCTTGCTCGGAGAGGCTGACCGACCTCTGCGGTTGCGCTGCGACACGGGCGGCTCATCGGAGGGAATTTCGAATTTCGGCGGGGGGGTGATATGCTTCTTGGCGCTCGAAGGACTCTGAACAATGTCTGTTGGATCCAACAATGCTCGCACCCAATCGTACATTCGGTATTCCTTGGAAAGCTCAAGGGCTAGGTAGAAAGTCAGGGTTTGTTTGATAGAGAGAACATCCCAGGCAAAACATACCAAATGCGGGCGAGATCCACACATTGCCGGCAACCTCCTCTTCACTGGTGTACTCGCGAGCTTTCAGATACTCGCGCTCTGTCCGCTCTTCCTCGGCCTTGGCCCATGGGAAGGCAATTTTGAACATCCCAGTCGCGCTAACATAGCCATCTTTACTACGGCGCTGTAATGATGAGGCCCGAATTTAGTGACCGTTGGCTACCACATTAGATAAACGGGGGGTCTCACCATCAAAAAATAACTTTCTGGGTGTTGTTGGGGGCTGTGGGAAGGGAAGATCTCAGAGCCCTCGAGATCCTTGGGCAGCGGAGCACGGAGGTGAGCATACTCGAACACGCCTAGGTTCTCCGGCTTGGTTGCGTTTGAAGTGCCAATCTGAGCGGGCTTGACGGACAGGTTGGTTTGTCCAAGACGACGGCGGGCAAGGAGCTCATCATCTGGAATCAATAGTAACACGAAATTGTTAGCGATGGCCTCGAGGATTGAGGGAGCACGAGGCGGGTAGATAGCCGATGCGCGCGGTCGCGCCACCACGCGCCAGTGCTCAAACTTACAGGTGGGAGCAACCTCGATCGTGATGAGCGGATTAAACTGTTTTGGGAGTGTTCGCGACATGGTGGGGTATCGAGCGAAGTTCAAAGGAAAATCTTGGTGACTTGTGGGAGACTCGGGGAAAGAGACTTGGGGAAAGATGCGCTAACGTTGGCCACGTAGCAGGCGCGTCAAGCGACAAAATTCAAAGAATCCAATATCACCACCAACAGATCATATATCTTGGCAAAAGAGAATCGCGCGACCAAAATTACGATCGATAACCGAAAAAAAGACAAGATAAAGAAGACAATCAGGAGAGAGGAGAAGATGCGAGTCGCGAATAATCGTTGCGTTCTGAAGCTTGACCTGTTCCGGTAAGGTCCGGTAAATGGTTGGTCATGTGTGGTATTCGGTTGCTTTTATTGGCCAACCACTTCAATACAGTGTATGCTGTATACCCCACTGTATTGTATTTGTTGGCCCCGTGACCTTTTACATTCTTTCCTACTTTGGACTTGATCTTCCTGTTCCCTTTCATCTTCATCTTCCTCGAGTCCAGTCTTTGTTTCCAGGGCTATTACGTGTCTAGACACTTGTTTCTGAGTAATCCGTATATGGCGGTGTGATTGTATATAAGGCCTACCGCATTCAATTGCTTATAGAAATCCCCCCTTTTCCACATGGAGTGCATGCAGGTATATATATTGAAGAAATATCTACCAATATACCACATGTGCTCATTATATATTTTACAATAAACCTATCTATATGTCCTCAATGTGGGCAACTATGTTGTACGTACCTCTACTCCATGCCTATGTTGTAGTTGCATGATCGCCAGTCCCCACACCCAGAAATTGGGGTCTACCTACTCCATAGTCTAGGATCATTTTCCAATTCTCTACATCTACGATCAAGCACAGAGTAGAAAACATAACTTGATCCATACAATGTATGCGTAAACAGTCAATATAACCGTGCAGGATCAACGGTGCGTAAACGTGCATACAGAAGTGGAAATCCGAATAGCCTCGCCCCTCTCCCACCGCCTTTCCACCCCCACCAAGGTCTCAGGAGACACTCGAGCTTTAGCCCTTTTGATTTTTCTTTATCATTTCGAGTTTTGAACTTGTTTCTTCTCTTTCCTCGTCCAACTTCTCCTTTCTCTCGACTCCCTTCCCCCCGACCTTCAATCCTTGGTTCCGTGCCCCCGCCTTCTAAATCTGTAAACAATGGCCGACCACCACGACGACGAGCTCGCTGCCACCACCACCGAGGGTTTCAAGGTGGGAGAGAAGAAGACCCTCGATGAGTACAAAGAGCTCGGTAGGTTGATTCAAATACAATTCAATGGGCAATATCTAGCCCTCGGTGATTTTCCAGCTAACCATCTTTCTCTCCCCCGCAATAGACAAGGACGATGAAGCTATGAACCGCTGGAAGGCCTCTTTGGGTCTCAACTCCGGTGATCCCATTGCCGATCCGAATGACCCTCGCAAGTGTATCATCAAGTCCTTGGCTCTGCAAGTTGACGGGCGTGAGGATGTTGTCATCGACCTGTCCTCTCCCGGCTCTGTCGATAGCCTTAAGGATAAGCCTTTCAAGATCAAGGAGGGCTCCAAGTTCCACATCAAGGTGACCTTCCAGGTCCACCATGAAGTCCTGAGTGGCCTCAAGTACTTGCAGGTCGTCAAGCGTAAGGGAATCCGGGTCAGCAAGGACGAGGAGATGTTGGGCAGCTATGCACCCAACACTACCTCCAAGGTCGATTACTCCAAAGAATGTGAGTATTCAAACCTGGCTTCTGTTTCTTGAAAATCTAGCTTTATTAACCATCCCTTTCTAGTCAACGAGGAGGAGGCCCCGTCTGGCATGATTGCCCGTGGTCACTACAACGCCGTCTCCAAGTTCATCGATGACGACCAGAACACTCACCTGCTGTTTGAGTGGTCCTTTGACATTGCCAAGGACTGGTAAACATGGGTTGAGAGCTATCTCGTGAAGTTATTGAGCGGCCGTTTGTTTTCAAAGCGTGATGAGTTTCCTTCTTTGACAAAACTGTTAGAGATACGTCCCACTGGGCTGTGCTTTGGATCCCAGTTTTATTGTTTATGCGTCATACCGAGTCTCACTTATTGGTGTATGATATTTTCATTTCAGATACAAAGTAACACATCTAGCTGTTTGTGAATGCACAGCTTTATCCCGAACTCCTGTCTAGTGCTGGGGTTAAAAAAAAAAAGGAAATTGAAATACATGAACATTAACATCAAACAAAACATAAACAGTAACCAATGGGTATCATGAGAAGATTCAGAGATTCACAAGAAGTAGTCGACCACTGGACTGGAGCCATCCTTGATCTGCTGCTGCTGCTGACCCAGCTGTTCAAGGCGATGGGCATCATTTTCTGGCGCCGCGTCAAAAATATTGAAAAATCGCTCGCCAGAGTCGCTCACTTCGAGCACACTAGCCAAATTTCCACAGCGGTAGCAGTAGTTAGGTGCACTCCAGACCGTGCTCAGTCGGTCATCGTAAAGAACCTGGTAGCCTTCTTGACATAATTGATGTGCGCGCAGGATGTGGGACATGCTGTTCACCTCTAGGAACTTCCGCACAACCTGTGCTCCAAAAGTGTATCCAGCGCCACGGGGTGAAAGCGAGAATTCGTCACGTTCTGTATCCGGGTCAGACCAGACTAGATCGGCCATGGGACCTTCATGTGGGATCTCGCGGAAACGGTCGATAATCTTGATTTGGTCGATAGAATGGATAGAAGGTGACAAGCCGCCATGTACACAAAATATCTCATCATTAATCACAACGCTCAGTGTCAAAAAGTCGAACATGTCGGTGAAGTAGTGCCAGACATTGGCGTTGCCGTATTTGCGGGCACACTCAGTATAGAATCCGTATGATTGTGTGACTCCGCGCGACTCGTGGTTACCGCGGATGAGGTGCACTCGTTGGGGGTATCGTAGCTTGAGGCACACTAGGAGTGAGATGGTCTCCACACTAAAAAGGCCCCGGTCGACATAATCGCCTATCGATTCTCTTATCAGCAAGACTTCACACCAAATGTGGCAACAAATCTGTTCAAGCCCGAGGCTTGCTTTCATTCCCGAACGGAGCATTCTCCAGGTGTGACTAACCGAGGAATAGGTAGTTTGTATCAGGACAGAAGCCGCCGATCTTGAAGATCTCGATCATATCAAAAAATTGACCGTGGATATCGCCGACCACAGTGACCGGAGCAGCAATATGTACCACATTGCTTTCCTTCATCAAGAGTTCCTTTGCCTTGAGGCAGATGGCCTCGATCACCGAATCTGCGAGCAGCTCTTTTCGGTAGAGCCGGGCGATGCACTCATCGAGATCGATATTCGCTGTGAGCCAACAGGTCAGCATAACCATGGAGATAACCATACCATGGAATGGAAAAGAAAAAGCCCCCAATGCACATACTCGGTAGACCAGGCATTGTGGTGAGATGCAGACACAGTGACTTCAAGACAAACGAGCGACAATGACTCCTTCTGGAAATGGTACTTCTTATTAAATGATGGAAGAACTCCCTGTACTTGGTTCCTGTGTCAAGGTAGGCGGGTGCAGAGAACTAAAGGAAAGTGATATTCGAGAGGACGGGGTCGAGGTCGAGATGGAAGGCTAAAAAGATGACAGTAAAAGGGATGTGTGAGTCAATCTAGCAGCAAGCATCCTGAGTGTAGCCGATCCTCGTTTCGAGTGTGGAGGGAAGGCTCTGAAATTAAAGATCGAGGCGACGTCAGGGCCGAACTGCGGGATGAGCTCAGGCACACGAACACGGTTAAATCCACACCGCCTTTGTTCCTGGACGCCTGGATTACAAGGCCACACGTGCCAACTGGCTAGTTAACTAAACTACTGCTACATACCCATGAAGGTATGTACGACGGAAGAATGTATGGCAGCAATCGCTCAAATATCAAAGGCTTGCCAACGCCTGCCAGTACCACACAGAAACTGTATCCGAATCGAGATACTATTAAACAACAAGCGCCCCGCTGCCACAACTCATGATGAATAACCGCGTGTTGTACACCCAGGTATATATAGTGGGCTTCTCCAGATGGGTATTTACCGCCTTTGCCTCAATCTCTGACTTGCAAGCTGAAGGCCATGATGAACTGATGACCTCGGAAAACAGTACTGGTTATCAAGACAATGCGTCATATTTTCAAGTAACCATGGAAAGATAAATGTTTTTAGGGTTTTTGGGCGGACGGGAAGCGACCCGCCCCGATCCCGAACGGGATTAGCCTGATTTTCATAGATCAGGGAACTCGAAAGTCTCAAACATCTACCTTGACTTTGTCCCACCGTGAAGTGGCAACCCTCCCATCCTTGATCACAGCTAGGATGTGCTCGTCCGCTCGATCCAGAATAGTGATATCCTCCAACGGATTTTCCTTCAAGATCAAAAGATCCGCCACAAATCCCTCATGAATCTGACCCAACCTATGTTCCTGCATAAGAAGACGAGCAGCATTGACGGTAGCACTGCGCAAAATCTGCAATGGATTTAAAACCGAACTGCGGACCGAGAACTCCTTGCTCTGAGCAAAATGCATCGGACCAAGAAGGTCGGTCCCAAAGCAGACGGTCACGCCCGCATCGACAGCCATCTTCATTGCCCCCAACCCCTTCTCAAGAACCTCCTCATTCTTAGCAGCGCCATCAGCAGGCAGGAAATTCATCTCCTTAGACATGACATGTGTAATCAGCGTTGGAGTCAAGAAGACATCCATCTCAGCCATCATATTCGCCGTCTCGAGGTCAATAAGATTCCCATGCTCGATACCGCGCACCCCGAGCTTGATAGCCTGCTGAATCGCCAGTGGTGTGTAGCTATGGCTCGTAACATATGTGCCCGCGTTCCGCGCAACAGTTACAATGGCCCTAATCTCCTCATCCGAGAACTGCACATGTTCAATACGGTCCGTGGGACTGGCAACACCTCCGCCGCCCATGATCTTGATAAAGTCCGCTCCCCGTCGCAACTCTTCGCGCGCATACCTGTAGCACTCCGCTGGGCCGTCCACAATCCTGCTGATTCCGGAGATGGAGCCGACGCAGCAGAGCTGGGTGTCATGGGGCCCGCGCAAGTCGCCGTGACCGCCGGTTTGGGAGAGTGCGTGTCCAGCGATAAAGAGACGAGGGCCTGGGGTTACACCGTCCTCGACGGCTTCCTTGATCGCAAGACTTGCGCCGCCACAATCCCGGATTGAAGTGAAGCCGCGATCAAGCATGGATTTGAGCACATATGGCTGCCGCAGAAGACTGACTGACTCGCTCATGTCTTTGTAGGCTCGTAGATCCGCTTCGCCAGGAACTACTGCGACATGCACATGGCAATCGATCAGGCCCGGACACAAGTATTTTCCGCTTAGGTCGATCACATTTTCTCCGGGAAGGTCATCTGTGGCGGTAGATGAGCCGTCTGTAACGATCTGAATAATCTTGCCTTCCGAGATTCGCAATGTAGCATTCAGGATCAACTTCCCCTCGGCTGGGTCAACAATGGTCGCGTTCACAAAGACCAAGTGTCTTTGAGGATTGAGCTTCCAGGGCTTAATGACTCGGGAGATGTCCATATTTGCAGTATATTTCTCGCTGCTTTGCTTTGAGGGCATATAAAGACAATCCCTATTCAAGTAGGCAACCATATCTCTCATGTAGGTATGGTAACACTGCAGAAAAAAGTAATGAGAGCACAGATCCCAGCTTTTAACCTGCAGTCCGGGGAGATCGGGGAGACTTGATCTTTATATAGAACCCACGTTCCGCCTCGGCTATTTTGATATCAACTGGTTCCACGCTGAATCCATTGAATTCTTTGTTACTTACTCGCCTGCATTGGAGTTGACTGATCTAGCCGATCCAACCAGTCACAAGCAACAAAGGCCAGGGACAACATGAAGCGATCGGCTCCATCGGCAATCAAGCTCACTAGCCGCTGCTAGGCGTTGTATGAATCGGTGAACATGAATAGAAGCGTGGATCGTGGGCTCAATCAGAACCGGCGTGAGTGGTTGGTCATAGATATATTCTATTTGCCCTGGGTGTTAAACAAAAGTCAAGGAGATCCCCATCTGTCCAGATGTTAGGTTATCTATATCCGTAAGTGACCGGTTGAATACAATTACCGAGGGAATGAAGTTGTCAATGAAGACTATCAGAGGTACATATGTGCAGTGAGCATGTCATTGAGTAGACAGATGGTAAGAAGAAAGAGGTCGAAGAGGGAAAGAGCGAAAGGAGAAAGGAACGGTCTAAGGGAAACTGGGGCTGTCCCTATGTACATACGTTTGCACTATGGGACCAAATCTGTTCCACGTATACTCCAGAAATTCAACTTAGTTTTCTTATATTTTCAAGATACCAAAAGGTTGCTAAATCAAATTAGCATCTATAAATGTAACCACCATTCGAACAAGTTTAACCAAGCAACTGCTGTGCCTCTTTATGGACAGCTTCAGTTTCAGAATCAGTCTCTTCTTCAGACTCATCATCTTCCTCCTCCGAGCCAGATTCTTCCGAGTCTGTCTCCTCTTCTTCCGAATCAGTTTCCTCTTCCTCGGAATCAGTTTCGGATTCTGTCTCGGTTTCTTCCTCCTCTTGTAGCCACTGGTCAAGAGTCTTCTTTCCAGCTGGGTCTACAGGCATAGCCGGACCGTTTCGGCCCCGGCCTGGAACAGAAGTGGGTTTGTGTTCACGAAGTGCTTTATCAAGGCGGTCACCTGCAGTCATGGAGGTGGTGTTGCTGGATGCGTCTGGTTTCACATCCTCGGTGCGGAGACTGGGGTCGGGTTCCTGGCCTGGCTCAACCCAGTCTGGGAGATTCGTGTAGCCTCGAAGTCCGTGACAACCGGCCTCGGGGCCGACGACGAGAGTGGCAGAGCCGATGAGCAGGTCCTTGCGCGTCTCGGATGGACTGGGGGCGTGGGGTACTGGCTTTGGTGCCAGGAGAAGGAGATTGGCAAGTTGAGTGGAAGAAGGTGTTTCCAATAGGCTCTTGTAGAGACGTGCCCGATCACGTAGGTCGTAGGAGGTGTCATAACGTGCGAGAAGGAGGATATACCTCCATAATAACGTAATGCGGTCTTCGGTTGCTTCTTCTGTTTCCTTTGTTTCAGTGCCGTCATTTTCTCGGCGGCTCTCCTCTCCCTCTTCAGTTCGCTCGGCACCTTGCAATTCCTCGTTCCCATTGTCAGTCCATTCGTTGTAGAACTCCCGTTGGGATTTGGCGGGGGCTTCGGAGAATGATGACGATGCAGTCTGCTCGGGCTGTTCCTTGGGTGGGTTTTGCAGGAGATGGTGTAAATAAACCTTAGCACCGAGAAGAACAGTCTGTTGTTTGACAATTTCCATCTCATCGGCGAATCCTCTGATCAATATGCGGAGGACATCAGGCGCGATATTGTTCTCTGGGTCAATTCCAGCAAACTCTCCAACCAGCCAGATAATGGTGGCTCTGGCGTCTGGGTGGGTTGTTGAACCCAGGTGCTTGACGAGCTGGAGAACAGTCGTTTTATGTGAGGATGGATCTTGTTGGATTAAGTGACGAATGACAGTCAGTGATTCCGACACGAGGTTGCCGTCTGGACTAGATATCTGGCCGAGAAGGATCCGTAGGCACATGCCTGCGGTACTTGTATCCCCTTGCGCGCAACGCCCAATGGCTCGTACACTCTCTCGTACCAACTCGGGATCTGTGCCTTTAGAGAAGTGCTCTAGTTCGCTGATTATAACTCCTTTCCAGTGTTTTCCGCAATGCGGGAACAGGATGGTTAGCACCTCCAGTTTGAGGCGCCAGATATGCGGCGGGTCGTTGGCGTGGACAAGGAAATGGGCCGTGTATTTTGCAAAAGGCTTGGGAGTCCTCAGAGCAACGGCGACAATGTTGTACAGAGCCATGAGTTGCATGTCTTGGGGGGTTCGTAAAAGAGCCACAAGGGGCCCAACTGCTGACGCAATGTATTCTGAGGGAGCAAGGTAAAGGAAGCAACGGACAACGCTGACAATGACGGCGGAGTTTCGGCTCTGCAGTAGAACCTTGCAGGCTCGGAGTAGAAGCTCAAGATCAGGTTCCATTACCGGTACTTCATACTCCTCGGCATCATTCTGGGTCTCCTGTTGCTGCTTCTCGTCGTCGTAGAATGCCTCCGGGGCTGTGCGCTTAACTTTCCGAGTTCGCTGAGGGAAACATTTTCGCGCATAAAAGGTCAACAGGCGCAACGTCGCTAGCTGGCCCCATTCATCCATATCAACCAGCTTCTTGACTAAGCTGCGATAGTGCTTGTGGATTAGGTCAATCTCATCCGGACACAGTTCCAAGAATGCCGCGACTGCGGGGCCGACGACAAAGTATTGAGAATCACCCAAAAGTGTCTCAAGATACCCCTTCAGTTGTGGCAGCGTGTTGGGGTCTAGACGATAACACTTTGGAATAGCCAAAGCGGCCGCTTTGCGCACGTGTGGACTCATATCCCCACATCCTCTCTTGATGGCCAGCGACACAATCTGGCTGATAACCGGAACCCGGATTCCCGACATAGTCCGAAGCGCCATTGTTCGAACTTGTGGGCTTGAATCGGTCAGCGATTTCTGGATCGCGTTGATGGACAGTAGTGCCAGATCCGGCTCCGCCTCCGCATGGTGGACCAAGTATATGTAAACCAATTTCTTGACTTCGAGGTTGGCGCTGGCCACATTCTTGACAACTGCTGAAAAGAAAGTAAGGGAGGGTTCGGACCGGTACATAAACTATAACAGCAAATTGAGTCAGCCATTACGTTTCCGACAGTTCTTGTTCACGGTCCCCGTACCGAGATGACCCTCCGCATTCCATCTAGGACTTCCCGCTCATGGCGACTGTCGAGGAGCTTCTTGATGTGCGCGGCGCTGTATGTCCGCGAACTATAGTCGGTTCCTGAGGTCCGATTGATAGCAGCGGACTGGGCAGCCTCTAATGTGAGCTCTCGGGCTATGCGCACAGTGACGTTCCAACGGTCAGTTCAGGCTTAATGCCAAGTAGAGCGGATTGCGACCCGACATACCTGTCTCAAGCATCGAGGATATCCTGGAAATTGTTTCCATTTTTCGGGTGTCTGAGCGCCCAGTCCAAGGGCTTTGGATGAGTCGGAGGAAATGGGTGAGAGTGAAAGGAGGAAAGGCGGAGCAGCTCCGCGGAAGTGATGTGGATGATGCCGCAACTCTTCGCCCGCCTTCGATCTGCAACATCTGCAACGTTCTAGCATTTACATACCAACTGACTCAAGGTCCACGACCACCGTGGTGTTTTGTGGTTGACGGATTATGAGTTGAATGACGAAATGATTCGTTCCTCGTTGATGACCTAGGAGGGGCAATAAGAGGGAGCCACAAGACAGCTAGCTATCTGAAGCAATGGGTCCAACATGCAAGATCGCTCACTGCGATCTGTTGTCCGATCTCCTACAACAACTACTTGAGGGCAACTCAGATACCCATCTCATCGTCTGCGCAACCAGAGCCGAGTTCCTGGTGCAACTTACAGCAGCCATTCGCGCACAACGCACTGATCCAGACACTGCTGGGAGCCATGACCTGCTTACGAAAACTATCGGGCTGCTTGCAAGATCCAGCAAAATACGGCTGGCATTCTGCCCGAGCTTGGAGAGTCTTCGGGCATACCTTGCCGTTTTCAGTCCTGCTGTTGGGGTGGCTACTGAGGACGGATCGCTTTCTCATGACCGACAACTCCTTGCTGTCCTTGATATGATAGCTTTACATGTTGCGACTTCGGAATTCTCGGCACAGGGACTCTCGAGAACACTTGCTTCTGTCGTTGAGGCTTCCTCCAGGATGGGGATGGATCTCCGGCTTTATGAGTGCATGAATGCCCTAGACCCTTCAAGTACTGTTTTGGGAAGAAAGCTATGGGATGTTAAAGTCCCCTTATTGAACGGGTCAGTTCGAATGCGATCAGACCAAAGTACCTGGGGTGGAGGGGGCGTCACCGTGAAACGGGTTGCCGAACGCTGGTTTGACTTTGACCAGAAGCATTGACAGGGAAACTGGAATACGCTGAATGCTGAAATCAGAAATCATATTGTAAAATAATGAAACTCCTGGAATGAATTTGTACTGTCGGGTATCCTATAGCAGACCACTGAACTCCTGTTTCGCACATAAATGACAACTGATTGATCATAGAGACTTCTCCATCTCTGTCATGTACAGCTTGATATGTGACTCTAGCTTTAGGTACTGGTCGTGGGCTGACTGAATCTCGGTCTCAATGTTCTCTTTCAAGTCGACCATCTAGAAGAGTGCGTTAGCAACGTTCCATCCCTTATAGCACAGGATAAACATACCTTCTTCTCTGTCTGTTCAATGCGAATACGTCTCCGCTCCATATCGCGTTGCTTCTCCGCACGTTCCTCACGGAGTTGTCTTTGAACATTGCGGAGTTCTTCCATGCGTGCCTGCGCAAGTTCGGCTTTCTCCTGCGCATTTTTCTGAAGTGCCTCGATACGCTCGACCCAGCGAGCTAGTTGACGCTGCAAGAGCTTCTCAGTCTGCTCGACCTCGCGGACGCTGTTCCCCCTGTCCGAGATAGCCTCTGTAGTTCTGGCAGCACGAGACTCCTCTTCGTCCTCCTTTTGCATCTCAGCTGAAATATCATCGAGTAATTTAACACACCCCTGCACGTCGTTGGAAACCACCGTAAACGTATCCGATGAGGTCTGCAGTGCGCGTGCCCGCCTCTCCATCGCATCAATGGAGGCTTTTTCGCGCATCAGATTCTCAGATAGTTCAGCCAATGAGGACTGGAGGGTAGCCGGAGACTCGAGCACATAAGGCCGCAGTTTCTCCGCTTCTTGTCGAGAACGGACGGTTCGTTCGGTCTTCTCTTCCAATTGCTGCTGCCGCCGGGCTCTTTCCGTCTTAACTCGATCAAGTGTCTCTGCGACTCGCGACTGCTCTCGACCCAATTCCAATAGCCGCGCCTTGAGCGCGTCGTTTCGGGAAACTTTCTCCCTCACATGCGCTTCATTCGATTGGAGATCTTGTCGCATCTCTCTCAGCCTTAATTCCATCTCCTGGTTTTCCGCAAGAAGTTCGTCAATGCGCGATTTCGTTTTCTCTGTCTTGTTGAAGTGCTCGTCAATCACAGGTGTTTGCGATTCGCGGAATCGAACAAAGTTGATCAAGTACGAGAAGATTTTGACGAGTCGCTCGTGCGTCGGTTTGGTCAGGTCGGTGAAGGTGAAGTCGTTGACACCGCACTATTTCGTGCCAGAAGTATTAGCATGCTCCCCAGGGCTTCTTGGAGAGTGTGATGGGCAAATACCTCCGCCAATAGCTTTCGGAGCATCATGAAGAAACCCATGAGGTTGCGGGTGTCATTGGGGATAATATCAGGGTACTCGCCGCATATATCTTCTGCAGCTGCATGCATCGCGGGTTCAACGGTCTCCCGGGTCGTGTTCATGAGCAGTTCTGCGAACCATTCGAACACCATCTGGATTTGCTGGGCGTTTGGTTTGGCCAGGTCGGCGAGCGTAAATGGTATACCGATATCGTTGATACATCCTGCGATCTCTTTATCGGGCTATGTTATATTAGTACCAAACGCAAGCTCCGGCGAAAATCAAGCTCACCAGGCGCATGAGGGCGTCATTCTCATCCTCCTTCTTGCGACCTCGACCATGGTGCTGATTGCCTTGGAATTGCTGGCTCATACGGCTGTTATATCCCATCGCGGTAGAGTTACGCGACATGATAGCTTGGGTGCCTGTCACCAGGCAAGGGGCTTATTCACAAAGTGGGTAGGCTAATTGTTGTTGATCGGCCTTAATTGTTTACTTGGAGACAATCCCGCACACCGCCCGATCAGGGTTAGTGCCTGGAGGGGCATTATGCAAACCAGACAAACATAGAATTCATGACTCTTTCTCTTCCTTCTATATTGCTTTGTTCTCACTCTCGCATTCTCGACGCTCATACAACATGGCTTCTACCACTTCAGATGCGGCTGTGGCCGATACTAAACCCTTTGAGTAAGTAAAGCGCGCTCCCTCGAAGCCTTCGCACCTGCTCACCGTTCCTTCAGCATTGTCGCAACCTACAATGAACTCCTCCGCTCCGATGCCGACCTCACCATGCCTATCGCGGCCATTGAAGCTCTAGTCCTTCTTCTCACACAGTCAGCATCTTCAACAATATCAGAGACCTTGGATCTACTCGAAAAGTCCACCGCACACCTGAAGCGATCTATCCCCAACCCTATCGGTCTTTCTGCCGGAACCGATCTTTTCCAACGATACCTGATTACCACACTACAACGTCCTGGACAACTCGGCCCCGCAGGCGATTTTAAAGCTATCCGCACACATCTTTTGTCAAATGGACGGCTGTTTATCCGACGCGCCAAGGAAAGCCGAGACAAAATCGCAGCATTCGGTCGTGGCTTCATTCGCGATGGTAGCACTATTCTCACAAACGGCGGCTCTCGGGCTGTCGCGGCGCTATTGCAAAAAGCCGCAGATGAGGAAGGTGGTTCTTCGGCCGTGCGGTTCCGTGTTATCTACGTTCTGTCTTCGACTTCTCAGGAAAGCAAGCACCCGGATGAAGAACCGGAGGGTATGGAAACAGTCCGTGCTCTGAGAGCAAAAGGTGTGCCAGTTTCGACAATTCCGGAGTCAGCGGTGGCATATTCTCTCGGCAAGGCAGATATGGTTATTGTGGGTGCGGAAGGTGTGGTGGAGAATGGAGGCATTGTGTCGCGCATGGGAACCTACCAAATCGGTCTCCTTGCGAAGGCCATTGGGAAGCCATTCTACGTGGTAGCAGAGAGCCACAAGTTCGTTCGCTTGTACCCTCTTGGTCAGTACGACCTGCCAATTGAGCAGCAAGTTGTTGAATTCAAGTCTGAGGAAGACCTTGCAGAGGAGCGCAAGCAGCAATCCTCCGTCGCTGACACAAACGGAGACACTCCAATCAAGCTACCCCTCTGTGACTCGGTTGATTTCACTCCCCCTCACTTGATCTCTGCGCTGATCACAGATAGTGGTGTCTTGACGCCCAGTGCTGTCAGTGAAGAATTGATCAAAATCTGGTTCTGAAGAAATCACATGTCATAGCAGATCCTTTTCTGCTGTGAATTTCCCAATCTCTCAAAAAGTTTCATCAAAATGATATGGCGGGGAATAATTCAATGTGACACGTGCATTTCACGTGGCTCTACCATATGGAAGGATCATCTCAAGCGAACGATATGGGATTGCCCCTCTTCACACGTCTAAATACAATGTGGATATCTGTCACATTATCTCCACTATGCAGCACAACCATAAGCTGCAGAGACGTGGGCAAATCGCACCCCTCTCTATTCCTATCATCGAAAACCTCGATATGTATGGACATGGATATGGAATGGTTTTCAATTGGGGGTGAGGGGGTTTCTTGACAAAGGGCTTGAACGCAAAAAGTAATAAGCAATAAGTGAATCTCAAGTACTTTTAAAGAAAGTGCAGAATTGTAGTCTGTTCTCCCGTGGTATCAAACGTCTTCCATCAAGTCATGCAGTCATCATCATCAATAATCATGAAAGACCCTCCTTCGCAGTCTCATATGTTGAACATCATGTATGCAACCCCATAGAAGGCTTTACCCTATACATAGACGGGTCCTTAGCCAGGCCTCTTAGGCCTTTCTTACATCCTTTTCATGTCTTCATCAAAAAGAAAGTCATAAGAACAGTCGTAGATCATCAATCATGAATGGCTGTTCAAGCCTCGCAAAAGGAAACAGCACAATGCCAGTCCGCAGCCTAGCATGAACGAATTGTTCACAAGGGAACGATCGGCCCGAGGTAGCAGTTTGTCCCTAACTCGCCCTATCACATCATAGCGAATAGCTCAATTGACAATGCAGTTGACACACCATTCCTGCGTTTGCATCGCAGCGAACGCATACAGCAGCAAGTAGCCAAGAGCAACAAATATCCACAACGCTACCATGTTTGAATTATTTCAATCAGAAAGTCGGTGAATGCGGAATGAGATGTTTCTGTAGGTGTGATAAAGGATTCAAGGGTGTCAAGCGACCACGATGGGGTCAGGTAAATGATGCCAGCGTTTGGCCAGGGGAGTTATTGTCTCCAGTATGGATTCTTTAAGGACGGGAGGAAGGAGGGTTGGGAATAATGTCTCTCTATTAGAACACATAAATGGAAAGACAGAGGAACTCTTCAATGGGATCTCATGCTCTCCAGACATTTTAAACACGACCAGACCGACACTTGACAGATTCTAGACATTTTCATTTTTTTAACTGACACACTTTCTTCCGGGTTCTTCCATCCAATACGAATGCGAGCTGGTTGTCTATTCCGTCCATTGAGAACCCTTGAGCGTGGGACACAGATGCGGGGTTCTTCCAAGAGAGAAGATTATTACTTCAGTCTTTCTCCAGATATCGGGGCCCATGAAATAGTTCTAGATTTCTGTGTGTGACACGCGGGGAATTTCCTGTTCGAGTCATAGATCGCCAGGTCCATCACGGATATTGGATGTGAAGACGGGAGGAATTCATATATTTGGCCTATTCTGCCAATTAAGATCCGGGCATGATCAGTTTAAAATCATTTGGAGAGTCAATCAATCCCATTAGTTGTGCACCGGGCATTTTTCAAGTAGGTACATTATACCATATTGTAGTTTCGAATATCAAGCAAGTGATACAAAACTGCACCCAAAATATATCACGCGAGCCTGACATTCTTAATGAATTTTAGTGAACCTTGGAATACGAAAGTATCGACCTCGGAAAGAACCTTGAGTCAATTCACAGTACAATGTCCATTACAATGTCGTATGCGGTTTTAAATATATATCGCTGTCCATAGGTAAGACTATATATTTTGATCGAGGCCCTGAATCCTCAAACAGAAATGGACCACTATCAAACTAGACTCTGCACCACCATCGTGTCACTTGATATTGAGAAAAGATATGGTCTAAGCCACGTTGGCCGCCGAACTCCTGGAACAACCGGAAGTT